GAAAAAAAAAAAAGAGTAATTTTGATTAAGAGAAAGAAAGGAGAAGAGAAAGAGAGTGAGAAAGGAAGAGAAATGAAGAGTGGCTTTATTTAGAGGTAGGAGCTGCCATTTCGCTCCGGATTGCATGCTAAATGCTACGTCCGTCCACGCGTTTTCCCTTTCCATTTTTGCCCTTCTCCCTTCCCTTTTATTTATCCTTCTCATTGGCCTTCTCGGTATTTCACTCAAAAATAAATAAATAAATAAATAAAAGTTTTTACATAAAATCACAACCGTAATTCGGATAACATATTCACTGTAAAAACCCTAAATATTGTGAGAGTATTACCGTTGGTTTTAACCATTTGATGCTATATAATATAATATAATTGTGTAATAATACCCATTTTAGAATATTAGAGTTGTTCTAATTTGTTAAAATAGTTTTATTTATATTTATCCACCTAAATTAACTCTTTATTTTTTATTTCTACGTGACAAATACATGTTTTTTTTTTTAAATATAAATTTTTTATTGGGAATAGCGAGTGCGAGACTGATTGACACTTTGAAGGTCAGTAGATACAAAGTCAAAAAAGTATATTTTAACCGTCGTCCAAAAAACACGAGACAAATTCTATAACGCTCGTTATGATGCGAATATTATTTATTTTTTCATTAATAATTTTCTAATGTTTTTATTATTATTCTTAGTGTAAATATCTTTCCATTTCACTCTGTATTGGTTTTTGACTATATTAAATGATCCACACTTGTAATTGGAATGTATTTTAGACTAAAATGAAATTAAATTATGAATTTTATGAATAATTTTAGAAAAAAAAATTTATATACAAATAATATACATACTTGTATAAATAGTAGAGTGTATCTATAAAACTATATTGTAATTTTTAAAAGACCAAATACATTTTATTTTAAAAAGTCAAGCTTTGATTAAAGCGTTAGTATTCTCTCAATTTAAGGTATGAATTTCTATTCACATTTATAATGCTATTTCACTAATTTTAATTTATCGTGTAAATTTGAATTTATACCTTAATTGATCAGGTCTATGTATTAAACGATAGAACATGGATCGAAGTTATAAAAATCGAAAAGGTGATTTTCCTTGAATTTATGGATAATTTTTTTGTTATGTCTATCATGGATGTAGTGTATATTAAAATGATAAATATAGAGATATATGAAATTAGGAGAGAGTATGTAAAGGTGTCCAGAAAGCTTTAAAAAATTTACCATATTTGAAACATCATAATTCTGTTACTATATTAGAAAACATGGGATTCCCCAATATATTATATATATATATATTCTGCGTGAAGAAGAGAAGATGAGAGGCACGAAATTGAAAATGGGCCAATAGAGAAGGTTTGGTTTCAGTAGTCCCTGGCCCAAAGTATTAAGTTATGGCGAGTAACCATAATCCTAGCCCAATTGTTGTCTTGCTCAATGAGCCCATCAATATTTCGTTTCATATCGAGGTAGGATCTCACAATCTATCACTTGGGAGCTTAGGTACTCTTGTAAGTAATGTTTCATTTCTCTCTTCCACCGATTTGGAATCTCACAAATTGTTACGGCCCATGTCCACTGCTCGTGCATATTGTCCTCTATGCACTTTCCCTTTTGGGTTTCGGATAACATATTGTCCTCTATGCACTTTCCATGTCCCTTTTAGGTGTTTTTGTTCTCTCCCCAACCAATGTGGAACATCACAATCTACCCCCTTCGAGGCCAGCATCCTGCTGGTATTCATTCCTTTCTCTAATCGATGTGGGACCGCCACCAAATTCATCCCCCTTTGGGACCAGCATCCTTACTGGCACACCGCTTCGTGTCTACCCTCTTTGGGGAACAGCGAGAAGACTAACACATCATTCAATGTTTGTCTTTGATACCATTTGTAACGGCCCAGGTCCACCGCTAGCAGATATTGTCCTATGTGGGCTTTTCCCTCAAGGCTTGCATTTGCTAGGGGAAGGTTTCCACACTCTTATAAATTATGTTTTTGTTCTCCTCCCCAACCACTATAGGACATCACACAAATCCACTCTTTGAGAGTAGTTTTGATACCATTTGTAACAGCCTAAACATATTGTCCGTTTTGACCGGTTATGTATTGTCATCAGCCTCATAGTCTATAAGGGTGAGGTTTTCAAAGAAATGTTTCGTTTTCTTCTCCAACCAATATGTGGTTGTCAGTTTTTGAAGAGCGAATTTGGCATGGAGTGTGAGAGGTTATATGAACAAGGAAGAAGGGACTGAAAGCTTCATTCTTCTGACAACAAGGAAGAAGTGACAAGTTGGAAACGGCAGTGTTGATGTTGGAAGCATATGTTTTCCATGATCTTTAGTGCTCAATCTTTGAGAGACAAAACATAACAATGCGTACCAAAGACGTCATGGGAAATTCAAAGAAATGGGACACTTGTAAGTTGGTGAATGGATGCAGAAGGATGGATTTTTTCCGACATGAATCAGCTGAACTTTTCTAATGTTAATATTAATATCATACTTCCAAACTGTGAATACCTTTGAATTATTGCTCCTAACCGGTGGGGTTTCAAAGATTAATTTGTAAAGATATGAACAAGCCTTATATATGTCTTATTGAAAGGCAAATAAATGCGACATTAAGTATGGGAGAAAGATTGGAAGTTTCCACATTTGATGATATAGATAATAACTTGTATAAAAATAATAGTTGTTTCTTCGTTTTGAAGTCTAGTTTTTATTTAATCTTTGATTTCAAAATCTTACATTGTTACATCATTGGTACATGAGTGAACGAATATCACATCTGAATGAGAGCGATTATGAGAATAGAATAACTAAAAAAAAAGCTTAAAGAAAATAAAAGTTACTACTTATACCAACACGGTGCATCTGCTAAATCATAAGAACTTCATAGTTAAACATGTTTTACTTTGAGGAATTTTATGTTGGGTGTCTTCCTAACATGCTTATGAGGGAGAACAAAACATATTAGGACTTGTGTTGGTTTGTATGCATAATCTTCACTCTTAAGAAGCGAGAAGTAGATAACGTGATCATGTTGTAGGGGATGCAGAAGAATGTCGGAGTCATCAAGTGTCAAATCCCGATCTAAATCTTGGATAGAGATCATATGAAAACAAAACTCATAATTCAAAGATGCAAATGTAACATTTTGAAACCTTTCCAATAGCACCTTCGACAACAATTAAGTTAAGATTGATGTTTTAAGCAAATAAATATGAAGCTACACTATATTTTCATCATGAAAAAATAAATTATTAGACATAATATTGATTTGGTCAATTCCTCCATGCAAGTTGGAGTGTTGAATAATAATAGCTTTTTAGGGTTTTCTTCATTTATTGTAGCATACCGACGATCGCCCCAACTGAACCAACCTTAAATTTCACATGGGGTTTGGATATCCAACACTAATGGTTTGTCTCTGCCATATTGTCGGCCGGGAGTTGACTCCGTCGCCGGTGAGTTTGTTGATAGGGATAAAGGGTGTGTATAATTGGAGTCAAAGGGTTCAGATTTGTGACCCATGTTATTGAGGTTTATCATTAAATGAATTTGGGCAACCCCCCAACGGTCCAACGCGTCTCATGACCAAGAGCCACTTGAATAATTATGTTGGGATGGGAGGTGAAGCCCATATATATATATATATATATTCTTAGGCTTGTGAGCAGGGAAAGACAGTGAGCTAGGTAGCCATGGGTGGCTCTCCAAAATGGGTTTCTCTTGGTCTTCTTACCCTCTGCATTGTGCTCCATTTGAGTGCTATTGCTCTTGGAGATGACAAGCTTGATAAGAGTAGGTTCAGGGATGATGACTGTTGGGGCAGGCGCTGCGGTGGCAGATTTGGAGGACGTGGACCTCGTTTCGGTAGGGGAGGTGGTTTTGGTGGCGGGAGAGGTGGTGGATTTGGTGGTGGTAGAGGTGGAGGACTTGGTGGTGGATCGGGTGGAGGGTTTGGAGGTGGCGGGGGAGTAGGTGGCGGTGGAGGAGGTGGAATTGGTGGAGGTGGTGGTCTTGGAGGTGGTGCTGGTGGTGGAGGTGGACTTGGTGGAGGAGGCGGTGGGGGTATTGGCGGTGGATCTGGTCACGGTGGTGGTTTTGGAGCAGGAGGAGGTGTTGGTGGAGGCGCTGGAGGAGGAGGAGGAGGAGGAGGAGGAGGAGGAGGAGGAGGAGGAGGAGGAGGAGGAGGAGGAGGAGGAGGAGGAGGAGGAGGAGGAGGAGGAGGAGGAGGAGGAGGAGGAGGAGGAGGCGGAGGTGGCATTGGTGGTGGGTCAGGTCATGGTGGAGGCTTTGGAGCTGGAGGAGGTGTTGGTGGTGGAATTGGTGGAGGTGCAGGAGGAGGAGGAGGTGGTGGTGGTGGAGGAGGTGGTGGCATTGGTGGTGGATCAGGCCATGGTGGAGGCTTTGGAGCCGGCGGAGGTGTAGGTGGTGGTGGTCTCGGCGGAGGAGGAGGTGGTGGTGGTGGTCTGGGAGGAGGTTCTGGTCATGGAGGTGGATTTGGAGCCGGTGGAGGAATCGGAGGAGGTGGAGGAGCCGGAGGAGGAGGTGGGTTAGGAGGAGGTGGGTTAGGAGGAGGTTCTGGAGGTGGTCACGGAGGAGGGTTTGGAATCGGAATAGGTATTGGAGTAGGAATAGGTGGTGGATCTGGTCATGGCGTGGGAGTGGGGTCTGGGTCTGGTGGAGGAGGTGGTGGCGGTCATTAAAACCCTATTCCGTTCTACACATACTTCATGCATACGTTCATGGTTTTCAACTATTGTAATCTTTCTCAAGTTTGATGCTAGATTTTCACTCTTTTAAATTTAACTCTCTCATCAAGTTTGATGTTAAATGTGGACGTGGACACTGTTCCTTTCCTTTTTCATAATTAATATCTCACCTTCCTCTTCTCAATTATTTCAACACATCACACTACAATTAATTTTCTTTATATATGTTGAATTGATGACACTACCAATGTTTATATATATATAATTTTTGATCCTAATCCCTACGTGACACACATAGCTTAGTCTCTTAGACTAAAAAAACTGGTTACTAAAAATTGAACTATGAGATCCCACATCGATAGGAACGAAAAATTTCTCACAAGAATGTGAAAACTTATTCTTAATAGACGCGTTTTAAAAATGTTGAGACTACCATAGTTAAGACTTATTTCAATTCGTGACTGATGGCTGCTATGGTGTGACGTACATGCAAGTATGAGCCTGTCGGTTAGATCTCGAGAAGGCCCAATTGTATATGATCTTTCGGCCCAAGAGAATATGGGCCATTGGACATACCCAACAGCTCCATCGACACTATTTTCGTATACTCTCATTGCTTAGGGATGGGGTGGGGAAACTTGAATAATAAACAATATTAAAAAATACTTAAGCTTTGAAAAAAAAAAAATAATTAAAATCATTATTATCGTCTATATTACTTTAAAAATTAAAATAATTTATATAATCATTTTTTTACACATCAAATGTCACGTTAATGTAAATAATTTTGTAAATGAATATAATATATACTAGTTGATATACATGGTTTTAATTCTCTATCATTTACATTACTATTTCCATGATAATTAATACCAAAGCATTCAAGTAAAACGTAATCTATTTAAATTAAAATATTGTAATGCTTCGATTTTATAAATAGTCAACCCCATGTGTGAATTTAAAATGGAATTGATGTAGTATAAAGTTTTCATTATATTATCAAAAACTTTTTGTTCAACACTCAGAGAACTCTGGTTACGTTAAAGACATGACTCTAATACTATGTTACGCGAATCTATACAATTGTATGATATTGTTTACTTGAGCATAAATTCCAAAAAAAATCTTATATCAATAGAGATATTATTTCTTGCTTATAAATTCATGATAACAATTTCAACCTCTCATATACGACTTAGCAAATTATAAAGATTGTGTAGAATTGATTAGCAATTATTTTATTTTCAAAGTAACTTTCTCTATCCGAAGACAAATGAATTCTATATTTGAACACGTGTCTAATTTAAACTCCATTTGTAATTTAAATAATATGGGTGTCAAATATTTAAATTTAATTTAATTTAGTAGAGGTTGATTGAATAGGATATGATGATGGTAATGATCTTAATATTTACATAATTTTATAATTTTCTATCATTTAAATCGAATAATTCAAATATAGACTATAACAACGTTTCAATCAACATATTTTTACATAATATGAAGAGAAAAATAAAGAAACCATTTAAATAATATGAAAGTATTTAATCTTAATTTAACTATTCTTCAACAACTGAATTATCACTAATTTTTTTTTTTTTTTTTGCAAATATATGCTTACGATATTTTCGATTTATTTTTTTTATTATTAGTATTTTTATTAAAAAAATTAAAAGATACTAATAGCCTTCAACTTTAAGTTTAATTTTTCACCCTTTATTTACACGCTTTGTTTTAAAAATATTTATAATAAATTATAATTTTCTAGAATTGAAAAAAAAAAAATTAAAATTTCCTTATCCCACACTAATTTTGGTCAACTTTGTTTGGCATGCTCCAGCTCGGTGGATAAGTTGACTTTTGAATATCTGTGCAACTAAAGAAAACTAAGGCCAATGGATAAAAACAATATTTCTTAGTTTGCAATTTTTTTTATAACCGTTAGAAAAACTTTAAGAAGAAATATATATGATTGGCCATTTATTTTAATTTTCTTCTCCATCTATATTTAATTATTTTTTTTTCATATTATCAATAAATAAAAAAATGTTAATGACTTAATGGAAAAAGTTTATAAATATTGTCTCGAATATCCAAGAACTAAATTCATAATAAAATAAGAATAAGAAAAAGACACTATTTTATAATTTGAATTCAATTCTAATAATAATAATAAATAAAAAAACATCAAAACAAATGAAATAATTCTATTCTTAAAACTTATATGTCATTTTCCTACCATTTTTTTTGTTTGAATATTTTATTTAATATTTATAATTATAATTTAAAGTCGAGAAAAAGAAATCGAAGAAATGGGAAATAAGAAAAATTAAATTTGAATGTAGATTTAGAAAAATAGTTTTAAAAAAAAAAAATTAAATTCTTAATTGGTACCTTTAAGAAATAGTTAAGATAGCTAAAAAGAAAAATAGTGAATGAATGAGATTAAATACTAATAAATAATAAAAGTAATTTGATTTGAAGTGTTCTTCAAAGTTTGAAATTGAAGGTTCAAAGTTGAGATTTTATGGTTCCTATAAAATAACAATTCAGCCGAATTGATTTAGTCTAATTTAATGACTTTTCTAGAAGCCATTTTAATTATAGTATCAATTATTTCATATAGTTGAAGAAATTTTAAAATATTAAAATCAAGAAATGAAAATTTAAATGATTTTTGAATTCATATGATCAGTATTTAAAATTAAAATATTTTTGAAAGAGTTGTGTGATAAACTAAAATTCCTTGGGTTTTATTGGTCCAGATTTAAGACTTGAATGGATTATTAAATTTACTTAATTGAATTGTTAAAGTAAAAGTTTATTTTTCTTTAAAAAATGAGCAAAATAATAATTAAAGAAAAAGGCAGCCCTTGAATTTATATAAATAGGGGCCAAAACGCTGAACAGAAATCCACACAACTTGTTCACCAAAATGGCTCAAAACAAGATCCCTTCCATCTTAATTCTATGCCTTGCTGCTTCCATGTCCATGACCTTGCTTCTTTCAGTTGAAGCCAGAAGAACCAAGTTCACCATTTACTTCCAAGACTATGCTTTTGGTCCCAACACCACCTTCTTCCCCGTCGTCGGCCTCCCCGGCTCGACACTCAACTACACCGACTTTGGAACCTTCTTTGTCACTGACGATGCCATAACTGCAATCCCGGACGAGGGTGCTCCAATCATCGGGCGTGCTCAAGGCATCTACGTTGTCACCGGGATGGACGGGCGAAACCTCCTCGTCCTTATCTCCTTGGTGTTTACTAGTGGAACCTACAATGGGAGCAGCATTGAAATCCAAGGGACCAGTAGACAATTTGATCTCAATAGAGAGCTTCCAGTCGTGGCTGGGACTGGCAAGTTCCGTCTGGCTAGAGGGTTCATTAACACAGACAACTTCTCTTTCGATCAAGAAAGAGGATTTTCTGTTATCCAAGTCAATGTCACTTTGGTTTACTAATTCTACTTGTCATGCTTTCTTTCCCTCTTATTTTCGAATAATCGTGGAGTTCATGAATCTCTACGCAGACAACTTCTCTTTCGATCAAGAAAGAGGATTTTCTGTTATCCAAGTCAATGTCACTTTGGTTTACTAATTCTACTTGTCATGCTTTCTTTCCCTCTTATTTTCGAATAATCGTGGAGTTCATGAATCTCTACGCAGACAACTTCTCTTTCGATCAAGAAAGAGGATTTTCTGTTATCCAAGTCAATGTCACTTTGGTTTACTAATTCTACTTGTCATGCTTTCTTTCCCTCTTATTTTCGAATAATCGTGGAGTTCATGAATCTCTACGCAGACAACTTCTCTTTCGATCAAGAAAGAGGATTTTCTGTTATCCAAGTCAATGTCACTTTGGTTTACTAATTCTACTTGTCATGCTTTCTTTCCCTCTTATTTTCGAATAATCGTGGAGTTCATGAATCTCTACGTTAGTCTATGTTTAATATTCCTCAATTATTGTTAATCAATTTATGAAAACTTCGTTTCAAATATTCTATTTTATCATTTCTTCTTCTCATTTTTCAATTTTAATAGATACATTCATAGCATTATTAAGATATGAGGTATGGTTTTTGTTAGGAATCACAACTCTTCATAATGGTACGATATTGTCCACTTTGAGTATAAGCTCTCGTGACTTTGCTTGGACTTCCCTAAAAGGCCTTATACCAATGGAGATGATATTTCTCACGATCTCATGACCTTGCTTTGGGTTGCTCCAAAAGGTCTTTATAAACTCATAATCATTCTAGGTCAGTCCCTAAACCATTTGTATGGTATATTCATGTAAGAAAAGAGGAAGATAAAGAGGACAAATCAATTAAACAAGTGGTTGGTGCCATTAGGCTGGGCGTCACTGCGATTTGACTGTAGTGCCAATGCAATGTGTTTGGATGGCCTTTACTTCAGTTTTCATTAATGCTATTGCAATGCACACGTTAATGCCTTCGCGAGGTCGGTCTATTGACGCACCATCCTTCATGTAAATAGTTTCAAATTTACTTTTGAAGGTTTGTACATTTACACACGTTCCACATCTACATGCATTGTTTGCAGCGTCTCCTATACTCTCTTATCGAGTTCTTGTATGCCAACAAGAGAAGAACGTCCTATCTTTATGCTCCTCAACGTCGTCAGTATGCTCGATGGTGTCCCACGTCCTTTATGTTTGTAAGTCAACACGCATCTTTACTGACCATATTTCTTGAGTAATGGGTACTAGAGCGTTACACTCCCCTCCTTTCTGTTCTCTATCGTCGTCATATCTCCTCCGATGATTTTATAGGATAATGACGTTTGTTTTTCCTATGGATCCAAAACATGGTGTGTTAGAAATCAGCACTAAAGTATTTGAACCTCCCTTTATCATTGGCTTCATATGCGTCGACAAATTCAACGTAGAGACGTGTAAGAGGAGGATCTATTGAAAGCCCATGTTCGAAAATGGATCAATTTTCAACAAACCCAGCTGCTCATCCATCAGCTTTTAACTATGATTTGTCAATCATTCTTCCAATTAAATCTACTGTGCAGCTGACTTCATTCCTTTCTCTTTCTTTTTCTTTTAACTCTGACGTCAAAGTGGACGTACATAGGCCATCTGGATCGTTGAAGAGTCGTAGGCAAGTAAGTTACTTGCACACCCATCTCTATCTGGTCCATAAAAAGATAAACACAACATCCCTAAATCCTTTACGTTGTTGCCATGCCTTTACAGCTTTTGTGATTTAAACATCCTTTTAGTATACTTTCACATGGAAAAGCACACACGATTAGGAACCACGATTCTACACAATAATATGATATTGTCAACTTTTAGCATAAGATACTAATGGAGATATATTACTTATAAATCACAACGTGAGACTCCCTCCCTCCTAGCAATCTTCAACGGTTCTCTCTAACAAAGTATACTATAGAGCCTCCCCTGAGGCTTATGTAGCCCTCGAACAACCTCCTTTTAATCGAGGTTCAACTCCTTTCTCTGGAACCCTTGAACAAAGTACATCATTTGTTCCACACTTAAACCACTTTTGACTAGACGTTCGAGACTCACAAATTCTTTATTCGACATTTGAGGATTCCATTGACATGACTAAGTTAAAGGCATGACTCTATAACCTGTTAGGAACCACGACTCTCCACAATAATATGATATTGTCTACTTTGAACATAAGTTCTCATGGATTTACTTAAGGATTCCTCAAAAGGCACCATACCAATGGAAGATGTATCCCTTACTCATAAATATGTGATCATTCTCCAAATTAACTAATGTGAGACTATCTCTCAACAATTCTCAACCGACACGTGTACGCTGGGAACATGTTTTTTTTTTTAATATAGGGAGAGTTCGAAGAAGCTTGGGTTTTTGTCATTTCTTAATTCTCTTTTGTTGTATGATACAGCAGGTACCCAATTGGGCGATTGAAAAGTACTCTGAACACAAAAAAGAGACCAACACAGAAAGAAAGGGAAAGGTGGGTACGGCTAGCTACTTGTTTAAAAGCAACCAAATGGATCATCATCCACGAAACTGAAAGCGACACTTTCTTTTGAAATATAGAACTCTTTTTTGCTATGGCGGCGGTGGAGGTTTTATTTTTCGTCTTTTAAGGCCATAAATTTGGTTATCGAGGAAGATCAAACTACAAAATGGACTGGAAACACGATTGGCGAAAGGGGTCTATGATGGAATAGTGTGTGGGAAATCCACTACAACTTACAATTCTCCTCAGAACTACTCTACTTTCTACGCTTGTATGATCATGAGTTTGAGTGGTTGAATTCAGAGTTACATTGTCAAATGGAAAAAAACAAAAATGAATGGAACTTTTATAAGGGTTGGTAACGTGTGTTAAGTACCACGACTTCCATCATTGTATGATATTATTCACTTTGAACATAAACTATCATAGCTTTATTTTTTGTTTCTCCAACATACCTCATACCAATAGATATATATTCCTTATTTATAAATTCATGATCATCACAAATTGTAGAGCTTGTAGAGGGAAGAGAACAGCATCGAGACGTTGCATATAGTTCGTTTCAATCCTCGAAGACACATGCAGAACTTGACAAAAAGATGTAGCATTTGATGCTAAGGTAAGTTTGTATAAAAACTTAATTTATTTGTTGTAATTTTCATTATGGTAGAACATGCTTTTGTAGAAAGCTCGATACATAATTAGTTTGAGACGAACGAGTATAACTCAAGTTTGCAATTTATCGATTCATCGTTCCGTCCCGTCATGATGTCCAGCTAGGGTTAGCAAAGGATTTGTGAGAAATATATGGTATGTAATGAGTCTTCTTTGTTTCATTGTGTGGAAAAAAACAATATAAAATAGTGAAATTTGAAAAATCAATATGAACACATTCCACGTCGTTTAGGAAGGAGAGTGAAATTCTATGAGTCTATGATGTCGTCTTTGTTTCTAGACGTGGAAAAGTGAGAAGAAAAATGAAGGAGAAGAAAATGCATGAAAAGCATTTTGCTCAATGAGAAGACCTCGAACTTAATTTGAAACGAAAAACAACTTAATCATTCATTTGAATATATTTATTAACATTTTATTTATAACGATACTTTACCTATATATTTGTGACACTCAAGCAAAGAATAGTTACATGAACAAATCGAGACAGTATCCAAATGAGAACGATCTAAGTATAGAATAACTAGAAAAGACTTAAAAGAAATGAAAGTTACGAACTTATAGTTAAACATGCTTTAGTTGAAGCAATTCTATTCTGAGTGATCTCTCTTATGATGCATGTGAGTGAAGACATAGCATGTTGGAATGATCTGTGTTAGTTAAGGATAGTCTTCACTCTTAAGAAACGAGGAACGTAAGTAATGTTCTACATGACATGCTGGTAGGACTTGTGTTGTTATGTGGGATGCGATATGACTAATCTTCACTATTACGAAGCTAGAAACATAGATAACACGACTATGTGGGAGGGATGCAAAGGAATATCAAGATATCAAGTGTTTGAATCCGAATTTCAAAGTTCATTATTACGATACTATGGAATGGTGTAGCATTTTAAATTCGAGAATGTTGGAGAGAACAGATCTCATATCTGCAGACATACGAAGGATGGTTGAAAGTTGGTTGGGTCTAGCTGTAAAGTGTTCAAAGCGAGTCAAGTTCCGCTCACAAAGTCCACAATGGCTAGCCCAAAGTACACCGCATGTAACAACTTTTTAGTTACTCCCCAAGGCTCCACCTTTCCCTCAATTTCTATATAAACCCATTCACAAACCTTCAAATTTTCATCACATAAATCCTTAATGGAGATGGATGGTCAAGATGAACTTAAGAAACCATCCGTTTTCCTCCAGCTCTTGGCCAAATTCCATGCAGGCTACTTCAGAATCAGCATGTCCCTTTGTGGGCAAGCCTTGTTATGGAAGATCCTCAAACAGCCAATTCAAAACGAAAATTCTCTAAGGCGAACCCTTCGCTTGCTACCCAATACAGCTTTCTTGTTGTTATGGTCATTAGCTTTGTTCATTTTGGTCTCTCTTTCCTTCATTTACATTTTAAGGTGCTTCTTCCACTTCAAATTGGTTAAATCTGAGTTCTTGCATAGAGTGGGCTTGAACTACCTCTTTGCACCATGGATTTCTTGCCTTCTTTTGCTTCAATCCTCGCCATTTAAGGCTTTGATCCCCAACCAAATTCTCTTGTGGGTATTTCTGATTCCAATTGTTGTATTGGATGTGAAGATCTACGGCCAATGGTTCACAAAAGGGAAGAGGTTTTTGTCTAGTGTGGCCAACCCCACTAACCAACTTTCGGTGATCGGAAACTTGGCCGGAGCTTGGGCGGCGGCGGTGATTGGGTGGCGGGAGACTGCACTCTGCATGTTCTCTATCGGAATGGCACATTATTTGGTACTTTTTGTGACACTTTATCAAAGATTGTCCGGATGCAACAGCCTGCCTGCCACTTTGAGGCCAGTGTTCTTCTTGTATTTCGCAGCTCCAAGTATGGCAAGCTTGGCTTGGACTTCCATTAATGGTGAATTTGATACCTTTTCCAAAATGCTGTTCTTTCTCTCTGTTTTTCTCGCCGTGTCCGTTGTTTCAAGGCCGGCGCTTTTTAGAAAATCCATGAGGAAATTCAGTGTGGCATGGTGGGCTTATTCGTTTCCTCTCTCTGTTCTTGCTTTGGCTTGTAATGAATATGCTAAAGAAGTTGACGCTGAAGCTGCTCATGTTATTGCCCTTCTTTTGTCTCTCCTCTCTGTTTTGGTGTCTCTGTTTCTGATGGTCATTACAGTTTTGAGGACTAATTTCGTCATCCCGGTGACCCCGCCGCAGCCGGCGATCAATTCCGACAATAGCAGTGCTGAACCATGAGGATTGATTCAAACAAAGCCCATAAGAGGGTGATGGGTCGAAGCCCATGAAGAATCCTTCCTTTACCATTTTTGTTGAAAAGCCAACAATCAGGCAATTGCTGACAGGGCCTTTCGAATTGCACAGAAACCGGAGGGCTGCTGCCGCTGCCCCTGTCTTTGTCTGGCTTCGTCTTCTCCATTTTTTCATGCTGTTTTGTTGCCTCTTGACCCCACTTCCTCTTCTTCGCAAATGCACCGCATCAGGTCTTTTCCTGTTTGTGTTTGGCCATTTTTTTTCTCCAGCTTTTGGTTGCTTACTCTTCACTCAATCTTCTCATAAATACAAACCCACAAACCAAATCCATTTCCCTTTATTATGAGTTATGAGCAACTCCAAGCAGTCAACTTTATTATGAAATTATGTCATATGTTCATTTGGGTAGCCCTTCAAATCTACCAAACTCAACAAATTTACAGAGAAACAGTTGAAAATATCAAAACTTTTGAGATTAGATGAACTAACTAACAACTTTGTTCTCTCAACTCTTGCTACTAATTTCACTAATTACAAAAATGGATTCAATTATCATCATTAACACAGCTTCTGATTGTGATCCAATTATCATCTCTCATTTTCCATTTAATTTCCCCTGAAAACACCGACAGCCGTTTGATTCTGTCGTCCTCCCATGTCTCTGTTTTCAACAGAGTTTGCGATCCTTCTTCTAACGAGTTCCAAGGGCCTTGATCCAAAATACTCGTCGGAGATTCGAAATCTGAATGTAATTCCTTGATAATCTCGAACCCAAAACTCAGTTCCCCCAAAAATGGATGTTTAAGAAGTTGACTCGTACTCCACCGTTCTGCCGGGTCTCTTCTCAAGCATTTCCCTAAAAAATCCTTCGCTGTCGCCGATAAAAAGCTCGGGATTTCCGGTGAGTCGCCGGAATATGCGATCCGGTACAGCGTCGAAACTGGGTCTCCGGCGGTAGGCCACGGCGGAGCGCCAGACACCATTTCGATTAAAGTACACCCGAGTGCCCATATGTCAGAGGAAATCCCCTGTGTTTCCCCACGCGCCACCTCTGGTGCCATAAACATCGGCGTTCCGCAGACCGCTGCCGGCGACTCAAGAACCCATTTGGAGCATCCGAAATCAGCAATCTTCAAACCATCTCCACCGATCAAAATGTTCTTAGCTTTGACATCACAATGCACCAAACCCCGCTTGTGCAAGTACTCCAATCCTCTGACAATTTGACGCGTGTAAAACGCCGCCGTCACCTCCTTAATCCGGCCGCCACGCCGAACGATTTCATCGGCGAGAGAGCCACAAGCGGCGTACTCCATGAAGAGATTATACATTAGCTTCCCATTTTCTGTCGTTACGTCGAATCCCTTGTAGCCCACAATTGAAGGGTGGGACAGCGAAGAAAGAATCCTCTGCTCTGTTTGAAGAAAGTCCGAATTGAGAAGCTCGGCAGACTTGACAGCGAAAAGGTCGCCGGAAGATGAGGAAGCAGCGAGGTAGACGGTGGCGAAGGAGCCGTGGCCGACGGCTGCTAGTCGGGTCCAGGCCATTGAAAATTTTGTTGAAAGGAAGAGAATAGGGAAGGGGGTTTAAATAGTTGGAGTTGAGAAGGGGGAGTTGGTAATGGACAGTTGGATCTATGAATCTATTGAGAGTTGACAATTTGGTTTGAAAGTAATCGTGTCGGGTTTCCAGAAGGGTTTAGGTTTGGCACGTGCGTGTCTGAGTTTTGATTGGCTGAATAGACTGGTTTTACTTCGTACGTGTGTCTGAAATATGGTATAAAAAGAAAATGAAGAGATTCTAGATGGGAAAGGGGGAGATTTGGGTCTTAACCCACAAACTTTTTTAAATTATATATAAATATTTATAATTCTAGTCTTCCTATTTTATCTTTATACTTAATTTTAATATAAATTTAAAATAATTTTGAAATCATTATTTAACAATATTAAAAATTTAATGTATGAGATAACATGAGGATGGGATGATGGAGTGGTTTGAGAAATTGTTAAAAGAATATTGTGTAGGTAAAAGAGTTGACTTTAGGTAGAGGTCAATCTGTACATTAAAAAAAGTCTTTCACATTGCATGTTTGTCTAAGTGGGAATTCCGAGTTTAGGGGTCGTTTTGTAATTAACCATAATAATATTACAAAAAGAAAAAAAAATTAAAATTAAAATTTAGTACATAAATATTTACAAAAAGAATAAATAAAGTTTAATTAGTGTGGAAAAAAGGAAATTATTAGTGGCTGCCACACTAAATTTACTATGAACTCATAATAATGAGGTAATAATGTTAATTTATTTTTCATTTTAAATTTCTTTGTGTTCAGTTGTTTTTAAAGGATTAAATATGATAATTATTTAAGAGAAAATGTCATTAAACATAGTGATTTTGAAAATTATGAAGCATTCAATGTAATAAATTACCAAATAAAGGCTGGATTGAAATGAATGTACATTGAATTTATTTTGATGACAAGAAGTTAAAAAAGAAACATTAATATTATCTATATTTTTTTTTTTCTATTTTACTTATGGACTTTAAAAAATAATATTAAAAGATTTGGAGATAATTTTGATTTATTATTATTATTTTTTTTTTAAAATAGAAGGTTTTTGAGAGTTATTTTTTGTATGAGCTCTCCAACCCTCACATTTTATTATTATCATTATTATGAGAGTTATATAGATTCTTTAATTCAAAATAAAACCCAAACAAATAAAAACATTACATGGTTGGAGAAATTAAGTATTTAATGTGTTGACAGACACTTTGTACTTCATTTATAAAAGGAATATAAAAATAAATGCATGATTATAATGTTCATTCAAGATTGAATTGTTTTAGAAACCATCATTTATGATCATTTATGTTTCAATTTTTTTGAGAATCGTTAGTATGGTTTTATCTCTTTTGAATATGAAAAATAGTCCAGTTCAGGTTTTCAGTTTTCGGTTTCGAGAATTCAAAATATATATATATAATCGGAGAGAATTAAAGAGTAAGAGATCTTCAGAAGATCAAAATGCTAGATGATCTAAATAAAATCAAGTAGATCAACAAATGTAGGGACAAGACAATCATCCAAAAAGATGTTTCAAAAAGATTAACAAGATTGAATTCAAGTTACTATCAAACAAGCGAATCAATCATGAAAGAAATTCATCACGAAACTTGATAGTTAATCTAAAAAGATCAATAAGTCATGGCCGATAATATCATCAAAAAAAAATCAAATAGTTAATTTGAAAATCAACCAACCAAAAGTGAAGAAAGGTCTTACCATCAAGAAGATAATAATATCATCTAAAAAAGATCAATAACAAATCAAGAGGGTAACTCTTACCATGCAAGCCCACAATTTTTTCTTTTCTTTGCCCACAATTTTTTTTCTTTCCTTTCCCTTTCTAGCTTTCCCTCTTCTCCTTGCTTTCCCTCTTCTCCTTGCTTTCCCTCTTCTCCTTGCTTTCCCTTCATAAAAAAGGTTTTGTTTTTCTCTTTAACCAAGGTAACTTCATAGCCCAACATCTTCGCTGGCACTCACTCCTTTCTCCAATCGATGTGGAACCTCTAATCCACCCCTCCTCTTGGGTGTACATTGCCACGTGTCTGGCTCTAATATCATCAAACTCACTGCTAACGGATATTGTTTTCTTTAGACTTTTCTTCTCAAACTTTCCTTTCAAATTTTCAAAACGGGTCTACAGAGAGATTTCTACGCGAACTAACGTGAATTTCACAAAACCATGGTAAAATAGGGTAGTAAAAGAGAACTAGAAATGGACAGTTGTGAGTCCATTCCACAGGCCTTCTTGGTAGCTTTTAAAAAGCTTATCTTTTCGCAACACTCCGTTTCCTTCCCTTCTATGAACATCAAATGGTGGAATGTTTGATATTATTCAAATAATAAATTATGAGGAAATCAAAGAGAAAAGAAGAAAAGTATAATTACCTCAAATGGGTTCTTCCTTTTTTTCTTTCTTTTAATGTGTGTATATATTATCAATTAAAAAAAAAAAATTGTTTTCTTGGGTCTGAAAATGGCAATTATTGGCCTTCGAATCATGTTGTTGTTCTTGGCCTTACTGTTGGGAATTGCTAGTTGTATTGTTATCAACATTGCTACTCCCATTACCATTCTCCTTTTGATGATGAGATCCTCCAATCAACGACGTCATCGCCGTCGCCAACGCTGCAATAAAATTCGGGTCGGAGGCAATCGCCGCACTCAACGTATCGGCCAATGGATTCTGCAACGCCGGAGGTGGAGGCGGCGCTTCCATGTCCTTCGACATTTGGAGGCCGGAGAATTTCGATTGGTTGTACAATGCATGTCCGAAGATCTGCGGGAAGCTCTGAGGCGGAGTGGCCGCAAACGAAATTGGGAAGTGGCCGGCAGCCGGGCGTTGGAATAAAGGGTTAGGGGTTTGTGTTAGGTCCAATGTGACGGTGGGAAATGGAGCCGAGGCTGAGATTGTAGCCATGCTTGAAGAGCATGGCAATAGGGTTCTTGCTAAAAAGTTTGGATTCATTAATCCATCCGCACTTGACATGGACCCTGATAGAAGCATCCTAGCCGCCGATGATGTTGTTGAAGCCATTGCCATGGCCGCCGGTGGTAATGGATGGTTGTGGTTTCCCTCGTAGGTTGTTATCAAAATTGTTTTGTCTTCCGCACATCTTTGAACCTAACCAATTTTGTTGTCATCCCAAAATGTTTGTGACATTAACATTCAAGGGAATGGTTTATGAGTATTGACTTACTTGTTTTCTAACCGGGCAGCCGGCCGCCATGGTGCACCGGTAGTAAGCTCGTGGACAAGGGTTTCCCTTCGCCATTTTTTGCCCGTATTTTCTCCATTGACATCCGTCCGTGATCTAAATAATTCAATCAAACAAAACTCCAATCAATTGAATGGCTAGTTGAAATCATCAGGTTTGATTCGTCCTATCAAATCTAGGTACCATCTCCTAAAAATTGGATCTTTTTCTAAAAAAAATTTAGGAAAAAGAAAAAGGGTTAAGATTGTGTTACCATCGGTCTCCTAGAAATTTAATCTTTTTCGAAAATTTGATTAGGAAAAAGAAAAAGGGTTAAGATTGTGTTACCATGGGAGCTTCTGATCTAGCTCGAACGGAGACTCGAGCCTTTCTCATAGTAGATTCAGTTTGATCTGCATCTTTGGCTGAAGAAGAGGAAGAAGAAGAACCTAATTTGGGCACCTTATTATTATTATTGGAACTCCAATTCGTGTCCGGGCTATGTCGTTTGGATGACGCGACTTCTCCGGTTGTAACCGGAGATCGTGACTGCTCTCCACTCCTTCCGTCAGACGATGACATTGACAGATCATCGGTGTTGGCATTCGTGGCCAATCCAAGATCCATAAATTGCCTTGGGACCAGCTTATTAGTATTACATCCGCTGCCGTGTCTGACCTTTTCTTGGGCGGCGGCGGACTTTTCCTCAATCGGATCGGCAGCGTCGGCCGCTTTCTGGTTTTGAATTAGGGTTGCAAGGTGCATCTGTAGCGCTTGGTAATTGGACGTCACTTGATTTAACATGTCCTTTAATCTTAGATTCTCTGATTTTAGCCTCTCCAATTCAGCTTGAAGAACTGCTCGCTGATCATCATCATCATCATCAAAACTTTAATAAAAAATTTAAAAAAAAAAAGAGGAAATTTTAATTTATTTCTTAATTTTATATGAAATTCACCTCGTTTTTGGCTCTTTTTTCTTCTGGGTTTGGAGAAGCTCCATCGTCGACCATGGATTGATCGCTACTGGAATTGGTGGTCAAAAGATTCAAGCCTGTCTGCAAATTGAAAATCATCCCAATAAATCAATGGAAACCCATTTGGAAAAGGGGAATTAAATTATAAAGGAAAAGGTGAGGGGGACCAACGTTAACGTTGAAGTCGAGTTTGGTGGGACTGCGATTGCGTGAAGCGAGTTTGGAGTCGAGGAGGACGCGGGATTTGTCATCGGCGGGGAAGAAGTTCATCTCGTCGAGGAGGAGACGGTGGGAGGGCGGAGGAGGAGGAGGAGGAGGGGGCGGAGGAGGAGGAGGGGGTGGTGGTGGAGGAGGAGGAGGAGGGGAAGGGGCGGCGTCCATGTTGGTGGGGGATCTGAATCAATGGAGAGTCCACTGCGTTTGCCAATAAATCTTAAAACTCTAAAACACACTTTTTCTTTCAAACCGTTTCAATGGACTCGGCTATAATCTTGGAAGGGAAGACTTGGCGAACAACACACTACTTTGAACTTCTTTTTTTTTAAAAAAAATAATAATAATTAAATTAAAAAAAAAAAAAAAAAAGATTGAGCAAAAACAAAAACCAGATGGACCCTCTCTCCTTTCTCAACTCTTTCAATAATTTTACCAAATTTGGATTTGGTTGAATTATTTTAACTTTTCTCCCTATGTTTTTCAAACCATTTTTATTTCTTCTCCCACCAATTACTTTTTTTTTCTTCAAATAAAGTTTTTAATTTGGATTACAACATACTTCTTTGTTTTAGTTATTTTAATATTATGATTTTTTAATTGCATTCTAATTTTGAGGATTTTTTTAAAAAAAAAAAAAATTAGAAGTCATTGGGAAAATATTCAATTTTAATATCTTCCATTAAAATATCAAAAAGTTATTGAATTAAGATACATTATCTAAATCTAGCAAATATAATTTCAAACTAAAATTTATTTCAATTGTTTAACTATCAAATAATATCTAAATTAAAATCATTTTTTTTTTATTTTTTATAAAGGTTCAATTATAAAAATTCCAAAACTTATTTGTATTAAATAATATCCTAATGTCAAATCTGAATTTTAAATACAAAACATAAAACATTATAAGTCAACTAAAAATTTGAACGTTTTCCCACATAGACATTCTTTTATTCAAGCGGAGTATGAACACTTTTAGTTTTGAATTTTAAAAATAAAAATCTAAATATTCTTTGAATTAAAATTGATACTTGGTTGACTTATGAAAGATCATGTGTAGTGAGATGACACTATTAAATAACAGAAGACCCAGGAAGGAAACATAACTTTGAAATAGAGACACAAACCAGAGACCGTATTATTCAAGCAAGAGCAACCTTGAGAAACCAAGACTTACATTTCTCCTTAACAAGCACTGCCCATGAATGCAAACAAAGTTCTGTGATGCCCCATAAACTAGAAAGCTAATTTGGATGAATGAACAAAACCTGTTCAAGCTGAGAGGTATCTTGACATCCAGGATTGGAAGCGAGACCATGCCAGTTCCACCGCGCTATCGTCCTCGTCCTCCATTCCCATCTTCTTCCTCCTCTTCACACCTTCTTCGGATCGGTTCATGAAAGCATGCCCACTTCCTTTATATATATGCACCTCATATGGAATTCCTGATTCTTTCAGCTTTTCCTCCAGTTTCTTGGCAGCCTGAAAACTCTAATCTCATTATGACTCTAGCATGTACAACATCGGATCGCTACATGTTCTTGTTGGCTTATTTTAACCAAAAAGAAAATACAACGCAAATTTTAATACCAAGATTATGTAACAAGACTCTTAACAATTAAAAACATTGTGTATCAATGCCTTGTGTAACAGTCTAAGCCCACCACTAGCAGATATTATCCTTTGCTTGGAGAGGGGAACGGGGAACGAAGCCTTCCTTATAGGGGTGTAGAAACCACTCCTTAGAAAACGCATTTTAAAAACCTTGCGGGGAAGTCCGAAAAGGATAATATCTGCTAGCAACGACCTATTAAACAGATCCTTCTCAATTCCACATTCAATAACTTCCATCGAACTTTTGAAGGCATTTTGCATTTCACGTATGATTGAGTGACAACATGGAAGAAAGAAACGGGAATATTTGACAGAAAACCAAGAGAAAAGTTCTACCGTCAAGTCGGAGAAGCCAACAAAAGAATCGAGCTCGCCAAAATGAGCCTGAATGGGTGCCTTAGCCTGGGCAGGATCTGCAAGCTCTGATGAAGGAACTCCATAGAATGAAACAACAGCATCAACCTCAGGGATCAAAACAGAACTTGCAATTGAGAGGGCACCCCCCATGCAGTATCCAGTTACACCAACCTGTCATGATCCTAATATGTTTAAACTTTCTAGAGATATTATGATCTCAAAATGGAGATTTTAGACTAAAGTTCATCAGTATCCTAAACAGTTGAGTACCTTCTTAGAGCCATTATCCTTGAGCCAGTTAACTGAAGCATTTATATCCTTCACAGCACCTTGCCAGTCGAGACCTTCCATCAGATGTTGCGCTTCAGCAACATCTAACCCAACCTTACCTCGATACAAACTGTTATCAGCAGAATGCAGCACAACCAAGGAGACCAATTATATCATTGACATCATCATAACAGAAGAAAGAATTCATATTCCAAGAGAGAAAAGGCATCATACTCGGGAATAAGTGCCTTGAAACCAGACCCAAGCTCAGATATCTTCACAGCATGATTCTTGACTTCATAATCCACTCCCCACCATTCTTGAAGAACAACAATTCCTGGGGCATCATCTCTCCCCACAACATAAGCATCAAATTCCTGCCAAAAGAAACAAAACTTGGAATGTTCAGTGAAAATTCCATGAATTCAAATTTCAAGTAGTTGAAATACCATCGAACTGAGCATCTCAATGCTCCAGTAAAACTAAGTGCAAGCTTGTTAAAGTATTGATATAATTAATCTTAACGCACCATCTTAAGCTTTTTGGCTCAAAAGTGATTCAACATTGTATCATAGCAAGAAATCCCATGTTTAAACCCTGTAATGTCATTTCCTCCCTCAATAAATAATGATTTCTACTTGTTCACCTATAAGTGCCCAAACCCACCACTAGCAGATATTGTCTTCTTTGAGCTTTTCCTTTCGAGTTTCCCCTCAACTAGGGAGAGGTTTCTACACCTCTTATACCCCTTGGGGCCTAATGCCCTTGCTTGCACACCGCACTCTTACAAGGAATGCTTCTTCTTTTCCCTCTCCAACCAACATGGGATCTCACAATCCACCCCTTGGAGGCCAGCATATCTATGAGGGGTGGACTTGAGCTACTACATCACCTTCCTACAAATTTTCAACCGAGTGGAAGGAGTGTTGAAGTATTGCTTTCGACCATTTTGGGTTGAGTAGTGATTTAACAAAGCTTTAAGTGGACAACACAGGTCATTAAGGAATCTAGCTCTAGTTGCATTACAACACTAACCATAGCTACTCAATCCACTAATCGTTTCAAATAGCAAACCCCTAATCATCTAGGGTTACAACAAATCAGGCCACAGGGTTAACTCCATTTCCCCTAAATTAAACACTGCCACAAGAATCCCACCGACCCATTAAACAAAGTAGGCGAATTCCCCAAAAAACGACACCATCAATCTTTCCCAAACGGCAAACAGCAAATAGAATCATACCCAGATAAAGAAACAGAGAATGGAGGAAAATCAAAGTGAGGGAAAACATAAAAGAGGAAAACGGAAGTGAACTCACAGTGCCATCCCTCTCAATTTGGATTTTCTTGAAAGGGGAAGAAGCAGAAGCAGCCATGGAGCGGACTGAGAAGCGAGAAAGTGAGAAGCCTAGCTTGTGAGCAGTAGAGAAGATTGCCGTAGTCTTGAGAAGCGGCACCAGAGAAATGGAGGACCGTAAATTCGATAATAACATCTCTCAACGCCTTACACGATACAAGAGGATCCCTCGGTGCGTAGTCAAAACGCTGAGCAGGCGCGGGAGAAATGGGGAGCGGCGAGTAAAGGTAAAAGTGAGACTAAATGATGTCGGTTGCTTCGCCAACCGCCAAACCCCGAAGGTAATGCCGAAGCTAATGCGGTACCACTAAACAGTTAATTATAACAATTAGAATGACAAAAAAAAAAATTATAATTCTTCTTGAGCATGCCTTATAATATGCATCATATTAAATATATTATTATTATTTATTATTATTATTATTGGAAATAAGGAATTAAATGCTAAAAAAGATGAAGGAGTCTAATTATAGGTGTTAATTTAATAAAACTAAATATTAAAGAAATTTAGAAAATATACATGAAATTTTGGAAAATTGTTATACTAAGTAAAGATATGACGTGGAGTTTATTAGTTGGAGATTTAATATCTAATTTAATTTGTAATTATCTATGTTAACTGTGGTTAATTAAATTTATTAATATATGTTTCATTTCTTACTTTTTATTAAATTTATTAATTCAATATTACTAAAACCAGAAATTTATTTTGTTTCATTAAATTGTTTAAAATCTACAAACATATTTAAATAATTAATTTAGTAAATATATTTTGAGTTTTGAACGAGGACAGTTGTGATTAAAATTGAAAAAAGAAAAAGAAAAAAGGTGAGGTATTAATTTAGTATTTTGGCGCAATAAATATTTGAGCTTGAATGGCCGGAGAAACCACTGGCGGCTATTGACAGTATAAAACGCAGAGAATATGCAGGAAATGAGAGAATCGTGCTTCTTGGAAACCAATCCCCATTTTTCTGTTTCGATTCGCCACTTTCTTCCTCTGTTTTCTCAAATTCCAATTCCGTACTCTCACACAGAATCGCCCAAAATCAAGATCTCTGATAATGGCCACGCTTCCCGACTCTCTGTTCGGGGAACCGTCGGCTGCCGAACGAACCACCGCGCCGAAATCCAACACTTCTCATCCTCCTAATTCAGACCTAAACAAGGTCTCTATCGAAAAGCTGATTCTCGCTCTCCACAACGCCCATACTCGCGAGCGTGCTTTGCAGCTTCTCTCTCAGGTACTGTCTATAAGTGATTCGATATATTGCAATCTCTCCGTTTACGTTGTTTGGTTTCTGGTGATGAGCAGGCGATCATACTCATACTCCAGGTTTTTTCTCGCTCTAGGGTCAGAGCAAAGTAGGAACGAAAAGTTCATTGTTCACTTTTAATTCGCCTTGGACTCGAAGAATTATTTAAGATTTTGAGTTTTGCTCCTAATTTCCCCTATTTTCTTACAATGTTAAGATTATATATTAAAAAAAAAACGTTAAAATTTCTGGCTCTGCCTTGGTTGTTGAGAAAATATTGAGATGGAATTGAGGTGCATTACAATCTAAATGTTGCATTCTACTCTTTTTCCGATGATTCAAACTCTTGAGTGCCGTTTTTTTTTTTTTTTAATCTTTTTTTTCTCATCAGAATAGGAGTAGGAGTGACGATTTGGCTGTTCTGATATGGCATTCCTTTGGTACGATGTTTACCCTTCTGAAGGTATGAACTCTCACTTGTGGCCATGTCTTTTCAGAACAATGTCAATCTTCAGGCTGTGTGATTCCTTTTGGGGATGTGTGCTGCAATTGTAGGAAATCATGGAAATTTACCCTTCGCTGTCCAAGCCCGATCTTACAGAAAGGGCTTCAATTAGGGTCTGCAATGCTCTTGCTCTTCTTCAGGTTATGATCTCTCATCATGGCTCATCTTTTTCGCATCAGATATGAACATGAATGAACAAAATTTGCATTGTTTGTTGGATATATTGAACTTGTATGAAGCTCTGATTTCAATCCTATTTGGATACTGTATGTGAATCTTTCAATGCATGCATCATATCTCCATGGGTTAACTCATAATTCAAATACTTTCAAATTTACCTTCTTACTTATGAATCTGTGTTCTTATCTTCTGCAGTGTGTGGCTTCTCACCCAGAAACAAGGGTGCCATTTATGAAAGGTAAAATCTCAGCAAAATTCGATTTATCTTTGACTTTTTCAAGCACGAATCAGTGGCTTTTTGAATTAGGTAGCATTGATGGTCTGAGTTTTGCTAATTTTCCATTGCTTCTGCTTGAATGTATATTATTTTGCAGCCAAGATCCCACTCTATTTGTACCCTTTCCTTAATACCACCATTAAGGAAAAGCCTCATGAATATCTCAGGCTCACAAGCTTAGGAGTAATTGGTGCTCTAGTGAAGGTAGTCACTGGTTTCTGTTCTGTACATTTTGTTTTCTGTTCTGTGGTGAACATCAACACTTGCTAACACGCACCGTAATGGAATGATCACATTGAAACACACTAATGAGTTCAATAACAAAAATTACAGGCGCACACACACAAAGTTCTGGTTTGGTTTGTTTTGTTTTGTAACTATGGAACTCACTAATCGGTGAAACTGAAGATAAGCAATGGTTTGCAGGTTGATGACAAGGAAGTAATTTACTTCCTACTCAAAACTGAAATAGTTCCATACTGCCTGCGATGCATGGATGTGGGAAAAGGCTTGTCGAAAACGGTGAGTACAACGAGATGAGATCATTAACTGCGTTTCAAATATTGCTTTCTTAATAATGTCAAGCACCTTTATTACTAGGCTGTTACTCATAATCTTAAGATCATCTAGGTTTCCACATTTATTCTTCAGAAAATTCTAATGGATGAAGAGGGATTGAGGTACTGCTGTCTCGTAGCTGATCGATTTTTCGCAATAACTAGTGCCTTGGAAACAATGATGGAAAAAATTTCAGATGAACCCTCACAACGTCTGCTAAAACATATTGTTCGCTGTTATCTTAAGCTATCTGAAAGTCCAAGGTTAGCTAAAAGTTCCTCTGAAGGCTTTAAAAACTTCATAATTTGATTGGTTTTACCATTACTCTTGATATTACATCATTGATTCTGTGCTTGAAATTATCAATAAAGGGCTTGCCCGGGACTTGCTAAACTCCTTCCTCAGATGTTAAACGACAGCGCGTTTACCGACCTCCTTCGTGTAAGTTTTGCATCTACAGTGAAAGTTTATCACATCAATTCCTTACATCCATTTCTGAAGCTTAAGCTATTATGAGTTTGTTACTTGCAGGATGATCCAACAGTCATGAGCTCCTTCCATCAGTTGCTTCGCAATGTACATGAGAATAGATTACGAGAGAATGAAGATGAATATGGCACTCCCAAAACAGGTTGAACAAATTATACATACATAGCTCTAACAATGAGTTAGTTCATCTTCCACATTTCTCTTTCATCTTCCACATTTTTCTTTGTAGATGACTCCTTAAAATTTAGTGTTATGAAGGGGAATCTCATCTTGGCTTTCACAATCTCTCCTACTAGTTGAACTTTGAGCTTAATTGGGTTTTTCAAAAAAACTAAAGGTCTAAAGGGAATTAAAATCGTAACCGTTCAAGCCACCGTCAACAGATATTATCTTCTTTGGACTTTCTCTTCCAAGCTTTCTCTCGAGGTTTTAAACGGCGTTTGGTGGGTGGAAGTTTTCACATCAAGTGTTTTGTTCCTTTCTCCGCATCTGGTAGGTAAGGTTTTCACACCCTTTACATCAAGTGTTTTGTTCCTTTTTCCGCATATGGTAGGTAAGGTTTTCACATCCTTATAAGGAGTGTAGGAGTGTTTTGTTCTCCTCTTCAACTAATACATAATTTTTCTCCACCCAATTTTACTCGTAAGTAGAAATTTTGACCATTTGGATTGGTTAAAATTAGTTTGGAGTTTGAAGTTGGTAGTTTAAAATTAATTTTAGTTTTATGAAAGTTAAATTTAAATGTAAAACCAAACATGAAAGCTATGACTAAAATAATTTTGAAATCACCCTTAAACATATTGAAAGATTTCTTCTAAATCAATCGCCAGTTTAGTTTTTAACAAAAGTTGGAGATTTAAATAGTTGGATGAACAATTTTTACTGTGCAAAGCTTAACTGAACCATAGAGTTTCAAATTAAATCCAAAATACAAGAACTCAAATCAAGCATTTAAAATTATATAATATTTTTTATTAAAAAAATTAAACGGGGATTCCAGGAAGCTTAAAACTTTCAAAACATAAGAATTTGAGAGAAGGAGGGAGTTAGATTGTGATACCCAATCGAACTCCGATTCTTCACTTTGTTCGTAAATCCTGAAGACTGAAGAGAATCATCAGTTGCATCCCATCCCCACTTATTTATTTCAACTATTCACTCTCTGCAATTCCCTCCCGCTTTCTCCGATGGCAATTCAGGCCAGCTCCTGCAATCCCTCACTCATCAAGTTCGGATTGGCTTTGATCGCCCTCTCTATTGCCGGTTACATTCTCGCTCCTCCTCTCTATTGGCACTTCAAGGAAGGTTTAGCCGTCGTTACCCGCTCCTCCTCTTCTTCCTCATGCCCTCCTTGTTTCTGCGACTGCCCTTCTCAGCCCCTCATCACAATTCCCCAAGGTATCTTTTTCTTTCTCCTTTTCTTATGCTCAGATCCGATTAGATCTCTTCTGGGTTTCGTCTAATTTTGCCACTGGTTCGTTAATTTGTCGATTCTCTTTCTGCATATGGGTAATGATCTAATTGTTTATCTGATTATGTGTGTGAACTTCTTCCTTGTAAATTGAAGTCAGCATGCCTTCAATTACCCTTTTCTGGTTTTTGTGTAATCTGTTTACTTACTGTGGTTAGTGTTTGTGCAGAATTGAGGAACACTACTTTTGGAGGTTAGTTTCACTTTCTTTCTCAAATGGGTATAATGTTTTTGGTTCATCATGACAAGTGATCCTGAACTTTGCTATATGAATATCAGAGATCTCAATATCTTAACCCTTTGATGATCATGAATTAGATTGTATTACCCTAAGGGGGCTATTTGCTGGTTTTTTCTTCATTTAAAGATTCTTCAAAAATTTCACAAAAAATACACTTGTTGAGGTAGCCTTTTGCTTCTTAGGCTGTAAATAATGGTTCTGGAGTTGAAAGGTGAGACTGAGTGTTTGAAACAAAACTGCAAGATAAATGGCGTAAGGAGCATGAAAGATCTAAAATTGCCTTCTTAATATGTTTTATTGTCAAGATTCGTAAGTGTCTTTGTGTGTGAGATCTCAGATCTCACATCAGTTGGAGAGGAGAACAATGCATTCCTTATAACAGTATGGAAATCTCTCCAGAGCAGACACGTTTTAAAATCGTGAGGATGACGATGATACATAACGAGTCAAAGTGGACAATATTTGCTAGCAGTGGGCTTAGGCTGTTACAAATGGTATTAGAGCTAAACACCGGGCGGTGTGCTTAGGCTATTACAAATGATATCAGAGCTAGACACCGAGCGGTGTGCTAGCGATGATGCTAGGCCCCCAAAGGGGTGGATTGTGAGATCTCACATCGGTTGGAGAGGGGAACAAAGTATTATTTTAAAAGGGTATGGAAAGCTCTCCCTAACAAACGCATTTTAAAATCGTGAGGCTGACGGCGATACGTATCGAATCAAGGCGGATAATAGACCTTTGGATTTCTTTCCTCACATTCACATCCTACCTACTCAAACTGACATTGCTATCACCTTCTTTCAGTATGACAGGGAGGAGATGTGTATTAGATATTTTTTTTCTTTCACTTGACGGATAAACTTCGATTACTAGATCGTAATAACTCGTGCATTTTGCAGATTGTATTAAGCACGATCCAGAAGTGAGTCAAGACACAGAAAAGAACTTTGCAGACCTATTGTTAGAGGAGCTGAAGCTAAAGGAAACCGAAGCTTTGGAAAATCAGCGCCGTGCTGATATGGCTCTGCTCGAGGCAAAGAAGATGACATCTCAGTATCAAAAAGAAGCAGACAAGTGCAATTCTGGGATGGAAACATGTGAAGAAGCTAGAGAGAAAGCTGAAGCAGTATTAGCTGCACAGAAGAGACTAACAGCAATGTGGGAGCAAAGGGCTCGCCAAAGGGGTTGGAAAGAAGGCATGGCTAAGTCTCGTACTCAAAAACAAGCAAATATTCAAACTGCATAGAGACAGCTTTCAAACAGTAACACTTCCTTCCTCACCTTTTTGTTTTCATATATATATATCTTCTGGTAGTAACTTAAATATTACTCGGTGTCACGTCGCAAATAGATCGAAACGATTCTTGTTTAGCTAATTGAAATGTCAATTACCATTGTTAGTGAATCATAAGAAAATGTTCATCTGGTTTGTCATCTTTCTTGTCAATTTAAAAAGATTTGTGGCTATTGAGTTTCAGAATTTAAAAGGGTCTTAATTTTACCTTAATTTGTATTTATTTATTTATTTATTCATTCCAAATGTTCCCATTCTGGATCGAACTTGGGAATCATACATAAGAAAGGCATGATGTAGAAGATTGCAGCTCTCAGTATGATTCACTTTCAATTAGGCCTTTGGAGTGTTGTAATCGAACCGCCCTCCCCTGCAATTGAATCATACCTTCGAAATATGTAAGCCACAAATACCACCGCCGTCAGCACCACCAAATCCTTCGCTGCACATTGCTTGTTATGCTCGCTGGCCATCCCCGTCTGCGGCCCGTTTGACCAGAACAGATAATCCAGCAGCGCCGCCCCTTTCTCCTCCCTGAACCGGTCCGGCTTAAACGCCTCCGGCTCCTCGAACACGTTGGGGTCCCTCATCACCAGTGGCTGATACCCACAAAGCAGCTCCCCCTTCTTGATGTCGAACACTGCATCGTGCGAACTTAGCTTGAAATCCTTCCTCGCTCTCGCGTATTGGGTCGGAACCGGCGGGTCCAGCCGGAGCGTCTCGTACACGAAGGAGTAGACCAGCTCCATCTCCTTGACGGACTCAAATGTTAGTCCCGACCCGGATTTTGCCCTCACTTCGTCGACGATTCTCTGTTGTAAGCCGGTTCTGTCGTTGAGTATACGATCCATTAGAACCGGAAGAAAGAGGCTGAATCCACCGTAGGCGTTGAATCCTAAGGTGAAGATAAGATTGTGAATGGCTTCATCCTTCTTCAACCCGAACTCGGAAACGCCTCGCTGCACCACTTCTTCCCCTGTTTTACAAATTTTTTTAAAAAAATGTACCTTCAACTTTTAAATTTATACTTATTTAATAATAATTCATTTTAAAATAATTTAATAATAATCCTAAGGAGAAGATTGTTGAATTGAAAGATGTTAATTATGGAAATGTCTGTAAAAATTATAAACATTAAAGAAACTGAGAAAAGTATCTAAAATAATAAATAAAGTTAAAAGTTCTAATACTTTTTACTATAAATATTGAGGCAACAATATTATGTCAATATTTTATGTGGGTGGTTTCGAGGAAAGAGAGGTACCTTCCTTTTCGATGAAATCGTAGAGTCTCCGGTACCGGCCGGCGATGGGGAAGAAGGGTAATCGGAAAGAGTGGAGGAAGATTTCCTCGAGGGGCTGGAAAATGCCGAGGTGAATGGTGGGGACGAGCTGGAGGCCGAGCCAGATGATGACGTCGATGTGGGCGGATTTCGCCACTTCCGGTGATTTTGCAGTATCGGCGCCGACCAGGGTTTTGGAGAAGAAATTGAAAAGAGCTGGTTGGAGAAGGTTTCTGAAGCTGGATTTTTGGTTGTTTGCGATTTCGGATTCAATGCCGTCCCAAAACGTGGAGAGGTTGGATTCCAGCTCGGGTATCCAAATCTTCGAGCTCCGCCGCAGGATGTCTATGGTGAAGTTCTTAATCTGGAAGTAAAATTGGTATGAGAAAATTAATTATTGAAATGAATGTGTTGGATGATGAAAGTCCCCTCGGCTAATTTAAGAAGTGAGGAATACTAACTCCATTGGTAGAGGCCTTTTGGGTAATCCCCAAGCAAAGCCATAAGAACTTATGTTCAAATTGGACAATATCATATCATTGTGAAGAGTCGTATTCATTTAACCTGGTATCAGAGTCATGCCCTAAACTTAGTCGTGCCAATATATTGGTAAATTCTCGAATGTCGAACAAAGGACTCCAAAAGCAAAAGGAGTCAAGTCAAGCGTCCTTGAAGGTACGAAGACAGTCAAAAATGACTAAGACTCCAAAGGAATCAAGCTTCGGTTAAGGGGAGGCGTGCTTTGTTCGAGGGGAGGTGTTGGATGATGAAAGTCTCACATCCGCTAATTTAGAGAATGATCATGGGTTTATAAGGGAGGAATACTAACTCAATTGGTATGAGACGTTTTGGGAAGCCCAAAGCAAAGTCATGAGAGCTTATGCTGGACAATACCATACCATTGTGGAGAGTCGTATACCTAATGATTTAGAATTAATTATTGAAGAAGACAGAAAGAGATGGAGTGGTTGGGGGGAAATTTCTCAAGTTGAAACCCTAATCGTACCTTCGAGTGTTGAGATTCCGACGTATCCAAATAGGCACACACTCTCATGTTTCCGGTGAAGCTAGTGCTGGGCATGAAATCGCCGACCAGAACATTCTTCTTCTCCACTACCTCCATGTCGAACAGATGCGCAAACGACTTGCAATCGAGAACCGCAGTCACTTTCGGATCGCTTAAGATGAAGGGGAATGACGGAGGGACATTCGTCCTGAAAACCGTGCTTCGATTCTTCTCCATCCGACTCCTGAAGAACTTGTCCGGTCCTTGAAACCAGAAGTAATCCAGGCGGTCGGCGATGGATCCGAACAGCGGCAAGCCATGACTGCCGGGGATGTTTTTGAGCGGCAAAGTGACCGGCGGCGGGGATATTGACGAAGGGATGGAAGGCACTCCGCTGGAGGCCATGGCCACCATCGTAGATATGAGATTTGTCGGAGCGTTTTGACAGTGAAGTATAGGACGGTGAGATTGCTTGAACCTTGCCGTCCCAGGTAGACTGATGGAGGGAGATTTAAGAGGAGTTTTGTTAAGCAATTGGGGAGACGAAGAGGGAGAGTGACGTGGCTATTGCTCATTTGCTAAACATTAATAAAGATTACAAAATGTGGATAAATAACGGGAATGTCATTTTGACTTCTTTTTTTTTTTTCGTCCAAAATTATTGGAGTGATAAAATTTTAATTTTAATTATTATTATTATTATTATTATTGAATAATAAACTCAATTTAACCCTAAATTTTCTTGAGTTACTCCTATTAATGGTAAAATGTTAATGGCGTAAAAAACGTGAATTTACATCTTTTCAAATCTTTAATAAAAATTTACCAAAAATTAAATTAAATTAAATATTATTTTAAAGATTCTGTTTAAAATTAACCATGCGATTTTACTTAATTAAATTTTAGAAAATCATAAATTTACTCCATTTATAAAGTTTCAAAATGATCTAAATAACTTCACCACCATGGTTTTGACCTATTACACATTGGTATTTCTCCCCTCCAACTGATGTCGGATCTCACAATTCACCCTTCTTAGGGGCTAGCCTCCTCGTTGACATATCACTCGGTGTCAAGCTCTAATACCATTTATAACAGTCAAAATCCATCATTAGCAAATATTGTCTGTTTTTGCTCGTTATGTATCTTAGTCAGCATCATGGTCTTAATACACGTCTACTAGGGAGAAGTTTCAACATCTTTATAAAGAATGTTCTGTTCTCTTCTCCAACCGATGTGAGATCTCGTAATTCATTCCCCTTCGTAGCTCTGCATCCTCATTGGCACTCATTCCCTCTCCAATTGATTTGGGATCTCACAATCCACCCTCCTTTGGGCGAACGTTTTCACTGGCACACTGTCCAGTGTCTACTTCCCTTTGGGGCTCAATGTCATCACTGGCACATCATCCGATATCTTGCTCTGATACCATTTGTAATAACTCAAGCCCAACATAGTATCCTCAAATCTTTTCCTGGCAGACTTTCCTCAAAATTTTTAAAATGCTTGATGATATGATGTTATCCACATGGAGACTATCAAAAAATATTAAAATATTTATTTTAACGATAGATCATGTAAATAAATATATTTCTTTTAAAGGTTTCATCCTACTTGTATTTGTGGATTTTTTTTATAACTTTATTTTATATTTTGGAGGTTTTTTTTTTAAATTTTATTTCGAATGCCAACAAAATAAAAATGGGTACAGAAAATAATGAAATTGGCAGTGTCGTTGATATTTTTGAGATGGGAAAACCTTTCTAAATGAATTTGAAACCACTTATTTAAATATTCACGCTACACAAATAAATCCTTTTACAACAAATATATATATAGATATATATATTTCAAATGCTTTTCAATTCGAAATTAAAACAAAAAAACAAAACAAAACAAAACAAAAAGAGTTGGATTTCTCGTGTCAATATATTCATGTTTTGTTTGTTAGATATTAAGTGAAATTTTTACATTGGTAACCAAAATGTTAGTCTTATAAGATTAGCTTGAAATTAATTTAATAAACAAATAAAAAATGGTCACCAGCTAATAGATATGTGAGCTAACAATAATAAATATATATTTAATAGGAATTTTTTTTCAATATAATTAGTAACAACTAACAATAATTCACTTTTATTTTAGTGTCTTAAAAATGAGAGAGATTAATAATTTTCAAATTATTTATATATATATATTGTTCACATTTATCAATTACAGGTTAATTTGTTTGTTTTTACTTTTTTTTTTTTTTTTTTTTTTTTTTCATA